TTATTTTTAACATTTATTAAGTCTGAACTCTTAAACGTACACCTTTTAAAAGTATGACCCTTTTTCATTACATTTCCTGCAAATAATTTATTTTTTAGGCTGAGGACAATCCGTCGCTATATGTCCATAATCATTCACAATTGAAGCATTTCGGCTCACCCTTTTCATTGGGATGCCAGAATTATATTGCGAATCCCTTTTTCCTTTCGTCTGTTTTATAAAATTTATCCCTCAAGATTGTATTTATTATCAAAACTGTTTTTTTAAAACCCACTTTTGAAATTACCATCTGTCTGCATGGAATCTTTAAACATTTCTTTGTCTTGAATACTGATTATAGGATCCTTCATAAAATTTAGAACCAGATTTGGGCTTTGAATTATACCTAAAAGTTTTTATTTTCTACTTGAAGTACTTTTATCCCTTGCCCGAATATTTCATTTTCATCTATTTTTCATCACTCTTCAGCCAACTGATCAATGAATTTAGACCAATCATCAATGAAATGGATCTCGGATAGCAAGCGGGGACCCTTTTCTTTAATTGATCATCCGTAATAATAAGTTGTTTTAAAGAGTCAAAATCTGTTACATTTAATCCAGCAAGCCACTCTTCAAAATAATTTTTTAATTCAAACGTGAAGTCCTTCCACGTATTACGCAATGTTTTAATATGATCAACGAACTTTTGCCGAAACTGTTCAGGGCTTAACTTAAATTTTCTCAGTAGCAGTTGCTTAAACGTGCTTATAGTCGTTAGCTTTTTCTTCTGATTCACGGGCAATTAATTGTTCTTATTCACGGGCAATTTATTTCATAAGGCAATAGACCCAACAGCCTGAGAAACCCAGTTTTGTTTCTTCTAACCCAATACGTCGTGCCTGTCTCTCAAATAAAACTAAGATAAAAACTTATATCACCTTCATTCATTCAATCATACTTATGCATTAATTTACTCATATCACAAATATTACTTCTACTAACATTAGAAGGAACAGAATCATTTACATTACTACTTCTGATTTCCGCTTCTATTTTCAATTTTTTCAAGTTCAAATGCTCTTTGCTTATCTTTTTCTTTTTTTCTAAAAATTTCTAACTTTTCCCTGTCTAAACGATCATTTATAATTCTATCTAGCATTTGTTTAGTAAGTCTTTGTTATAATTCTTACTATTCAAAATCATATCTCTTAAGCCTACAATTTTAATATCAGAAGGGACATCTACATCAAGTTCCAAAGCAAGTTCTTTTAAATCACATGTTTTTGCCTCTTGCCAAATAAGCCATCTTAGACTTCAATTTTCAAATACTAATACAATAATTATACTTAAGTTCTTTCCGTTTAATACTTAGACATAACAAACAGTTTATAAATTCACGTACCTTTCTACTTTCAGTTTTGGCGAGCTTCCGCATTCAGTTTAGGCTTAGCGTACGTTACGGCAATACGTTGTTAAATCTAGATAATAATTCTAGTTTATCCCACTTCTGAAATGTTAGCATTTAATTAGTTTATTAAAAACACATTCCGTCAAACATTAATTGTTAAATACTTGCTTTATTCAGAAACATTACCGTCAACATTACTGCTCAAAAAACATTACCGTCAGAAAAAAACTGTTGTTGCCAATTGGGAAAATACATTTTAAATAAAAATTAATACGTTGCGTTTACAGTTGCCTATCATGAAATTAGACTTTAATCACTTTCAAAACCATAAAAACCCTTTTTACTATCATCATCATCGAAAACAAGAATATTGTTATCACTACTGTTTCCATCATTGCTAGTATCACCTTCTTCGAATAATGTGTCGTCTTCTGTTCCGTCTAGAGCATTACTGATTCCGCACTTATTAAAGGACTTAAAAATTACTTCAGCCTTTACATCCTCCCAAGATCTTTTTACCCACTCGCACACTTGTGAAATAGAGGGCTGCTTCATTCTACCTGAGGGTGTGAGGGCGTGATGTGGCTCTCCTATGCACTTGTTCCATCGTTAAATGGCTTATTCACCGATACATCTAAAGGCTGCAATTGGCTAGTCAGTCCACCAGGAATGACAGCTATCTGGGTTTTTAATTCTCTCGCTTTAATCTTTATGGTTTCAGTTCTATGGGCGCTAAACTGATCGAAAACCAAAAGAGACGGTTTTCTTAAGAGTTCACCAGGTCACCTTGCCCATATGTTCTGTAAACACAGTTTCATTCCAGCTTCGTCCATCCAGCCTTTCGGATGAACATGAATAATTACACCCGTTGGAAGTTTTCTTTTGAATATGAAAAACGGCGGTAGTTTTATGCCAACAGCATAACATGTTAGAACTACCATATACAGTCAAAAGTCGTTAATTCGGACACCCATAATTTGGAATGATCTATAATCTGGACATCAAAACTAAAAACTTTCTGTGCATGCGCCACGTTGACACATGCGCAGAGGCGTTCACGCGTGCGCGTAAGACCTTTTACGACTGCGCATATGAGTGTGCCCAAGTGCAGAATACGTTTTCGAGGTGCGCATTTTATGTATAATGGACGTATAAGCTAAAATTATCTAATTATCTATTTCAGTTAATGTTGATGATTGCGTTGTTCCTTAATTTTCGAAATGCATCCGGTTTATTATTTTTTGCAGACTGTAAGAGCAATTTTATAAAAGTAAGCTTAAACTTTCGATTATATAAAATAGAATTTCCGATATATATTTGTTAGTATGTAAAGGATCTAAAGCGAAAGTATGTTTTGAAATCCGAAATCTGTTTATCAATTTCACGTTGCTCGGCGGCGGGCGCCTAATGAATTGGAATTTGATTTGTCAGCACTATCCTTATCTTCAGCGCAGATGTTTTTATTTTTATTTGGCTTATAATTCCTTACCAAATGTAGTATTTCATCTCAATATGCTCCGTCTTTGATATGATTTAAAACAAGTTCCTCGTCATTATAATTCGCTTCCGATAGCGAAGAAAAGTGACAGAGGTTATTGAAAACAAAAAAATTTCGATTGACAAATTAGTCGGTGTTCTTGACACAGCAATTATAGGACTTGAACGGCGGAACTTTGTAACTGAACAAGAAATTATGTCTGTTTAATAGAATTAAATAGAAAGTATTATCACATGAAACGAAGCAAAACTTAAACAACTTACATTGAAAGAAATGTTTAATAAAGTAAACAAATAAATATTAAGCTTTTTCTTTTTGCAAATTTTGATACACTTTAGATCATAATTCTTCTTTATTTCATAAATTACGGTTTTTCACATTTTTAATTTTAGAATTTCTGCATGCCATCTTACGAGATTTAAACTGATGATCTATAATCCGGAAAAATCGATAATCCGGAATCGCCGAAGTCCCGACGAGTCCGGATTAACGACTTTTGACTGTATCGGGTTTTTTCATTACCTATGATTTTTATGGTTATTGATTTAGACCCTTTAATACCCACAGTCTTGTTGGATGGTACATCAAATGTGAGTGGAATTTCATCCATATTTCCTATTTGACCGACGTAACATCCACAGACGTAATGTGACCGTCGAACCTGTTTGAACTTCGACATCAGCTTCAAGCTTTGGCGCTTTTTGGCGACAGATATTTCATGCATGCGCAAAATATTTATGGCAGATATAGAAAAAGTTATGTGTGTCTAGACATTTATACAGGCTAAAAATAGCATTCAGTATTGAAAGTTAAGTGTCCTTCACGTATAAGACGCAGGTAACTTTTTTGAGACCAAATTTAGGAAAAAAAGTGCGTCTTATATGCCGTCGAATATGGTATAAGCCGAATAAAATAAAAACATCTGCCCTGAAGATAAGGATAGATCAACTTCCAGTTCATTATGCAGAAAGTTTGTAGCTTTGAGGTCCAGATTCTAGATCATTCTGGATTATGGACGTCCAGATTAAAGACTTTTGACTGTACCTATAAAATTTTCCAAAATTTTTCTACATCATTTTCATTCTCAGCAAGACCCTTAAAATTTTCTAATTTTGTAATGGCACAGTAAAGCTGTAGAATTTTCAAAAACTTACAGATGAAAATGAACTACCCCTTAAAATTTGTGTATTGACTAATATATCAGCACGAATTTTTTCAAAATGTTTCTACTTCATTTACATTCTCTACTAGAAACTTGAAATTTGCAAATTTTAACATTAAATTCCCATATTATAACAGAATATTTCACTATGGTATTTTTCACAATAGCTTGAGAGGTTATGCTCTTATGTGATTTTACATTAAATGCATTCCAACCATTAAGGATGCTTTTATTAACTTATGCCATATTTTTTGTTCTCTTGATACCTCAGTGATAATCTAAAGGTCATAGCGGTTACATTCAGCGAAATGGTTATACTCACTGATGGTTACGCTTGTAGACGAATAAAAACACGTCAGAGAGTTATGTGTGCAAACTTTTTTCTGCTAGGTCATGGTCAAAGAAGCAAACCCAGACAGTGCACAAGTTCAAGATCAAGCAATCATCGCCAATGCATAACCCTACATTGACCTCATCGATAGTTTAGAAGGTACTTTCTGATTATTTGCTCACCCACCAAAAGGTTGCAAATTTTCTGATGACTAATTTTTTGCAAGCTAACAGATTAAAGGCAATAGCTATATTCTAAATAACAGAGTACCAAAAATTCTATAATCAGAATCATTTAGAAAAATATTATTCAGCAAAGGTACAATCAGACACAATAAAATAATCTGCTAAGCATTACTCACAAAAATATTTGTCAAATACATATCAGTTACAAGAAAATATCAAAATTAATGAGACAAATATTTTAGCAACATGATACATTGCTATAAAGAACATGGTCACTACAAAATCTTGTAATTCAAGTATTGGCATTTAGGAACTGATACAACAGAATTGACTAAACATTCAAATATTTAATACTAGTGATAAAATTATTAATGCTGAATAATAATTAATATTTGATTAAACTGATCAATTACACTTAGATGTGAAGTTACTTACTTCCTTGCACTCCAACAAGTGGAATATAATGATTATGACTGTAACTACTCCATGCAATACATATAGGTTTATTTAATGCATTATCTTTCCCTCGACATGGTTCACAAAATCCAGGAAGAAAAAGAGCTGAAATTAAAAAAAAAAAAAAAAAAAAAAAAAAAAGCATAAAAGCATTTTAATGTAAGCTATTAATATCCTACTAATTTTTATATATTGTAAATAACTAATAACTAGAATTCTCAATTTATTTTTAACTAAAGGTACACATGTTAATTGAAAAAACTTATTCATAAACATACTAATCATTAAGATTCAATATTTAAATTTTAATAACTTTTTTGAATATTAGAGTTTTAAATGTATAAGGTATTATATAAAAAAAGACAGAAAATATTTCATAAATTACAAACTCCATTAATTATAAATTAATTAACTACTTTTCTAATTCAATAATTAAATATAAATCCTTTAGATACTTCACATACAGTGGCAGATAGGACCCGAGTGGTTTTGGGACGTTCAAGGAACTCGAACTGTCGAATTGACACAGATGACCGGGCGAGACAGCCCTGAGCATGAGGGAGACATGGATGCGCGGGCCACATATCACACTCAGACTCGAATGAGATATGGCAGCTGTAGGTTATAGAGTAGAAGCAGAGTAGAGCCTATAGTCGACAACATCAGCAGTCGTAGATTAATGAAAATACAGTGCAGTCAAGTTCTAATTTAATTGTGAAATTGAAAATATTGCATTATAACTGTAATTAAAAAGACTCTCTAGCGAATTATACTGAGTCACTGAATAACGCAAGTTGATAAAAATATTGCACTTGAAGTTTTTTACATTACGCTTTAGGTACATAAAATGGCTAAACGAAAACTCAAAAGAGATGCACAGAAACTTTGAGAAAAGAGACTAAAACTAATGAAGGATTCTGCAAAACATTGCTAAAAAATCACAGATGTGTATCCTGGATTTTCAAAACCAGCTTCTTCTCCCATGAAAATTACTGCGAAAACACAAGAAGAAGAGGCCACCATTTCAAAAACATTTGAAGCTGAAATATCAAACACATGTGTGGACAATTCGGTGCTGCTAACAACAGACACAACAAATTTACAAAATATTACCATAGAACAACAAGCATATCATCATCGTCCTTTTCATGTTTGTCGGCTTTCTATTTTGCACGACCGACAGCAGCTCAAGATCGGCAGGATTGTATCAGGAAACAATCCCTGCCAACCTTCAGCTTCAAAATATTTGCTGGCTCATCTACTGTTCTATTATCCTAACGGAAGTAATAGAAAATGGTTGAGTTTCTATAAAGAGACAAATAGATTATTCTGCTTCATTTGTTTACTTTATTCTAACAGCTCTAATAAAAGTATTATTGTTAATGGAGGAATGAGAAATTTTAATAGAATTAATACTTGCACTCAAAAGCATTGTTTCCAATGATACACAAAATGCCCAGATATCACAGATGGCAAAACCTATTCTGGACAAAATATCAACTTTTAGAATAATTTTGTCTGCTTGCGTATATTTGAAAATATTTCAATATAGTGAGCCAATAATGAATTATTTGCAGACTAAATGATTAGATTACATTATAAGGTATTTTCTCCCTCCTTTCTGCATGCCTTCATGGTTTTACTGGTTAGCACACTTGGCGCGTATTCAAGATGTCCAGGTTCGAGTCTCAGAAAGACATTGTTCAATTTTCTCCTTTCTGCATGCTTTCATGGTTGTAATGGTTAGCACACTCGGCAGGTCCAGGTTCAAGACCCGGAAAGGCAATGTTCATTTTTTATGTCTTCTGCTTCAAAATAACCTAATGCCTCTACAGTGGCACCCGAGCTAAAAGGTGGTAGATGTTGATTCTTAACCACCAGAATTTAGCGATTACGTCCTCTAATCCCCAGTCCCCCTTTAAAAGGGGGAGTATATAAGGTATTTTCTCCCTCGTTCCTGCATGCCTTAGTGGTGTAATGCACACTTGGCGCGTACTCGAGAGGTCTAGGTTCGAGTCCCGGCAAGGGCACTGCTCATTTTTTATGCCTTCCTCTTCAAAATAACCTAAATTCAAAATAAAATGATCTTAATTAATTCTATTTATAAATAACTAAATCAATACAAAAACTGCAACAAAATTAATGGAGGAAATATTTGTCCAGGTGCCTAGAATTAAAAAATATTTAAATGGCTGATTATGAATCAACCGCTGTTTTGTTTATATAATTATTTAGTCACTGTTATTTATTGTTTATAGTTTATTTGCACACACACACACACATGCATTATATGAATAAAGTGTTACTTTTCTGCAAAGGCACATTTTTAGCCCAAAAGGGCTATTAATTTCGTTTTCGCATTTTGCGTTGATTCACTCTAAACTGCGAATCACTTTTTAGATTGTTGCCACCAACTATTAGAGCCCTGTATCATATTTAAATAAATTAAATAATGAAGAATCTGCATAAATGTATGTATGTTTCTCCAACTGTGATCAAACAACGGTACCTAGAGACATAAAAGTTAGAATAACGTACGTCTCCACCAGAATATGGGCACCTGGAAGTCCAAATTTGGAATTTGTTTTATTATCTATTTCATATTTTGTAAAGCATTTATGAATTTTTGATTAAGAAAATCAACAATTTCAAAGCAAGTAGTGGCAACACTGTACACAATAAAAACACATTTTTATCTCCAGTGTGCGAGACTGTGTATCTGAAATACTAACGATACGCTCTTTTAAATATTTCGTGATATTGCTGTTGAATTGAAATTTATGGTTTAAATGCAAAGAGCATGATATTCAGTAAATAAAGGTAATACACAAAGCATTAAAAAGCCCCCTTCAGCGTAATTTCAATCTCAAATAACATTTCAGTTTTTTAATTTTATAAAATTATTTTTATGATGATAACTTTTATGTATAATGACATTTCATATGAGGCCTTAGGGCCAATTTCTCTGGCCAATCCACCACTGTTAACATATTAGATAGTTATAGAAGTACTGTATAATAAATGGTATAAGTAAAGCATAAAAGTTCGTATGTTTAAAATATAATGCTGAAATACATTGATTCAATAATGATAATATAACACATAAGAAATAGAAAATAAATATTTTGCAAAAATAACTATGCATTAAACCATTCTTAAAAATGACATTGTAAATTTAATAAACAATGCAAACTTTTAAAATGTTTTAATAATTAATAATATAAGCATTTAGTAAATTTTTAAAATTTGATAAAAAGGTGAGGATTTCAGCTTACATTACCAACAGCACTAACAAAATGAGAGTTTAGGCTTTAATTAAAGAAGATTAACCTCAATTTTAATAGTAATTTATGCTAAAAGAATGATATAAAAAATTTACTTTCATAGACACACCTGAATAATCACCGCACTTTTTCATACATTCAAGAGAATCAAGAAGTATAATAGGACGTTTTAAAACATTAGCTAGTCCAAATATGTGGATATTACGTAATCCATGAAGTTCCCCTTCAGGAGGTTGAAATTCAGGATCACATTCTTCTATGATTGCAGCCCATTCGGCAGCATCAATAAAATCTTTAAATAATTCCTAGGGGGATTAACAATTTTTTTTAAACATTTTACATTAACTAGCAACACTTTTTAGTATTAACAAAGCAACATGTTTTAGTGTTAAATGACTCAAGTAATTTGTGAATAGACTATATCCCTCTTATCAAAATACAATAAAATACTACATAAAGAGTTTTATTAAAAGATATTATCTTTGCGGAAGAATACAATAAACCTCCAGCTGAAGGTCTGGATTTAAAATGCAGTGTCTAAAAAAAGTAATGAGAAAACTTATAATTCCAAAACACACCTGTACTTTATACCTGCAAAGAACAACATCTGTGTACTTAAGTAACACTAGTAGGATAACTCCCAAATGTGATTTGACTACTTGAAAGATAAAAGAAGTGTACCTGGTACGGCAAAATATTCAAGTATTTTCAACATTTTCTAAATTTGTTACACAATGATAGCAGGTTTAAGTATAGACCAGGGTTTCTTAACCTGTGGGTCGCTACCCACAGGTTCCCGCTATTCCCCTTTTAGCACTTTTGATATTTCTTTAACTTATTATAAAAATTTTACAATTATCAAATATTTTTACACAATGTATCTGAAAATAGATAAAGATTAGAAAATATAGACAAAGAAAAAATGAAACTTTTTGACGCATTCTTTTTATAATAAAAACGTTCATTTTCCTTGCTTTATATATATATTAATATATATTTTATATTATATTTATAATTCATATATATTTTAATAAAAGGGAATGTGTTCCTTCTTTATATATACATATATACAGTCAAAAGTCATTAATCCGGACTCGTCGAGACTTCAGCGATTCCGGATTATAGATCATCAATTTAAATCTGGTAAGATGCCACGCTGAAATTATAAAATTAAAAATATGAAACCGTAATTTATGAAATAAAGAGCAATTATGATCTAAAAGGTATCAAAATTTACAAAAAAAAAAAAAAAAAAAAAAAAAAAAAAAGGCTTAATATTTATTTGTTTACTTTATTAAACATTTCTTTCAATGTAATTTGTTTAAGTTGCTTCGTTTTATGTGCTAATACTTTCTCTTTAATTCCTTAAACAGACATAATTTCTTGTTCAGTTACAAAGTTTCTCTGTTCAAGTCCTGTAATTGCTGCGCTGAGAATACCAACTAACTTGACAATTGAAATTTTTTCGTTTTCGCTCACCTGTCTATCACTTTCTTCATGCCTTTATCCATTTTCTGCAGCAATTCCCATTAAAACATACTTCTGCTTCGTAGATCCTTTGGCAGCTCCAGAATCGGAAACTCTTTTTGACATAATCGAAAGTTCAAGCTTACTTTTTATAAAATTGCTCTAACAGTCTGCAAAAAATAATTAGCCAGATCCAATTAGAAGATTAAGGAACAACGCAATCTGCAACATTAACTGAAAAAGATAATTTTAGCCTGGCTTATACCGTCCGTTAAACATTAAACGCACATGCATAAATGCATATGCGTATGCACAGAAAGTTTGTAGCTTTGAGGTCCGGATTAAAGATCATTCCAGATTATGGACGTCCGGATTAAAGACTTTGTACTGTATAAAATCTGAAAGTTTTCAAAGTCTTTTTTTAAATATTTCTATTCAGAAATTGAAAAATAATCATTGTAAAATTGGTGGTGGTACTAAAGATTTTCAATTTTTGCTTAGATGGTATGCATCAGTTTAAAATGGTTGAGAACCACTGGTCTAGACCAATGGTCGGCAAACCATGGCTCTTTGGGTCCTCCACTGTGGCTCTTCCATACAATAGCACATGTGTGTATACATGCATAAAAGCAAGAAAATCTTGAAAATACAATACAAAGGCCATCAAATTTTACACAAGCATGGAAACATATTCACCAAAGCTATTTCGGGAAATTTTTTTTACTGATTTCAGCAATTTGATTGTACTGATTATACGTCAGATTGTGCTGTCATAGTAATTGTCATATGCCAGATTTTAACTGATGAAATGCTTTAAATTAATACAGTCAAAAGTCGTTAATCCGGACTCGTCGGGACTTCGGCGATTCCGGATTATCGATTTTTCCGGATTATAGATCAGTTTAAATCTGGTAAGATGGCATGCAGAAATTATAAAATTAAAAATATGAAACCGTAATTTATGAAATAAAGAACAATTATGATCTAAAGGGTATCAAAATTTACAAAAAAAAAAAAAAAAAAAAAGCTTAATATTTATTTGTTTATTTTATTAAACATTTCTTTCAATGTAAGTTGTTTAAGTTGCTTCGTTTTATGTGATAATACTTTCTCTTTAATTCTATAAACAGACATAATTTCTTGTTCAGTTACAAAGTTCCGCTGTTCAAGTCCTATAATTGCTGTGTCGAGAATACCGACTAATTTTGTCAATGGAAATTTTTTCGTTTTCAATAACCTCTGTGTCACTTTCTTCACTATTGGAAGCGAATTATAATGACGAGGAATTTGATTTAATCATATCAAAGACGGAGTACATCGAGATGAAATACTACATTTAGTAAGGAATTATAAGCCAAATAAAATAAAAACATCTGCCCTGAAGATAAGGATAGTGCTGACAGATCAACTTCCAATTCATTGCACGCCGCGACGTCCTCCCCCAGAGCAGCATAAAATTGATACACAGATTTCGGAATGGTTAGAGAAACAAAGGATATGCCTTTATCCATTTTTTGCAGCAATTCCACTTTTTGTTTAATGAACTTCGAAACATACTTTCGCTTTGTAGATCCTTTACATAGTAGTAAATATATATCAGAATTTGACATATCAAAAGTTCAAGCTTATGTTTATAAAACTGCTCTAACCATCTGCAAAATAATAAGACGGATCCAATTCGAAGATTAAGGAACAACGCAATCTGCAACATTAACTGAATTAAATAATTTTAGCTTAGCTTATACCGTCCGTTATACATTAAACGCGCATGCGCACACGCATATTCGCAGCCGTAAAGGTCTTATGCGCATGCATCAATGCTACGCATGCGCAGAAAGTTTGTAGCTTTGAGGTTCGGATTATAGATCATTCCGGATTATGGGTGTCTGAATTAACGACTTTTGACTGTATACCATTCAACGGCAATTTTAACTTGAATGAAAAACCAAATAACGTAAAAATGAAGTTTAGTTTCAAAATATCACAACTTTTAGCTTCTTAGACCTTTCAAATTTGAAGTCTTTTCAGTGTCTGAAACAAAAATTTTCCTGGCAACATAAAACACATAGACGATGTTTGGGTTGCATAAATTGTGAAAAAACTTCAAATTGGACATGTCTAAAATCTCATATATTTTGACACAAAATTTCATTTTTATGTCATTTCAAGTTATCAAGTTAAAATTGCCATTGTACTGACTATAGTAAGATTTTTACTAATGTATTGAAAAATCAGCAATTGCACTGATTTCAGCACAGTGGTCTCACAAAATAATGACCATTGTATCCTTCATCAAGAAGCACTTTATTCACAGACATTTCTAGAAGAAATTTGCAGAGTTATGAAATTGGTGATTAAGATTATGAACTCCATTACAAGTAAAGCCCTTAAAATTGACAGTTTAAAGAATTTTTAGTTGAAATGGAAAGTGAGTATGCAGATCTTCTACTGCATAACAAAGTACGTTGGATATCAAGAGGAAACATTTAACGTCCATATTGACAGAAATTAAAGCACTTCTCCTCGAAAAAGGGTGTTTATTATCCAGGACTAACAAATGATGAAAGGATCCAAAAATTTTACTTCATGGTAAACATGAAGTCTCATCTAAATCAACTTGATAAAAAAACTACAGGGAAAAGGAAATAAATGTTTTCGATGTTAGAAGTTGTTTCATTAGAAAACAAATTATCTCTTTTTGCTCAAGGTTTTGAAACAGAAACTTTCCAAAACTGCTGAAACATTGCAAAGAAAATACAGTCAAAAGTCGTTAATCTGGACTCGTCGGGACTTCGGCGATTCAAGATTATCGATTTTTCCGGATTATAGATCATCAGTTTAAATCTCGTAAGATGGCATGCAGAAATTCTAAAATTAAAAATATGAAACCGTAATTTATGAAATAAAGAACAATTATGATCTAAAGGGTATCAAAATTTACAAAAAAAAAAAAAAAAAAAAAAAAGCTTCATATTTATTTGTTTACTTTATTAAACATTTCTTTCAATGTAAGTTGTTTCGTTTTATGCAATAATACTTTCTTTTTAATTCTATAAACAGACATAATTTCTTGTTCAGTTACAAAGTTTTGCTGTTCAAGTCCCATAATTGCTGTGCAGAGAATACCGACTAACTTGTCAATCGAAATTTTTTCGTTTTCACTAACCTCTCTGTCACCTTCATGTCTTTATCCATTTTTTGTAGCAATTCCACTTTTTGTTTGATGGACATCGAAACATACTTTTGTTTTGTAGATCCTTTGGGAGCTCCAGCATCGGAAATTCTATTTGACATAATCGAAAGTTCAAGTTTACTTTTATAAAATTGCTCTTACAGTCTGCAAAAAATAATAAGTTCAACTCGAAGAATAAGTTCATCATCAACATTAACTGAAATAGATAATTAGACAATTTTAGCTTATACTGTCTGTTATACATAAAACGCGCACGCGAAAACGTATTCTGCGCTTGCGCACATGCATATGTGCAGTGTTTGAAAATATAACTTATTGTAAACGTTTTACTGCATCATCTCTCCTCCTTGAAATGTTTATTTTGTTTAATTCTTATTTTAATGTAATATAGTAGTTACTTCTACTTCTTTTTCTTACTGATGATACTATCGGCTTTCTCGTGCCGATAGCTGATTGGTTGCCGTGAGATAACGTCATGCCTACTTCTGCTATAAGTATCTCGCTTCGCTCTGCAGACTTCCTACTGTCATGTGCCTACTGGCTCTCCTCATGAGCTGGAAACAGCGCGCGAAGCGCGCTACTCCAGCCACACTTGTTCGGATCGGATAAGGTCACTCAACTCTCCTTCTAGTTCCTGCTTTCCTG